TTAAAACAATATAAAAAAAATTTTTATGAATTGTGTAACAGATCTACAAATGATGTGACGGTTCCCCCTGTTCTGTTACAGTACACGTCAGATATTATAGCACGCGTCATATATTATGTAAAAATGATAATTTAGATTTCAATTGACATAACTCAGAGAGTAATAAAAAATGCAAATTATTTTCATCGTTATAATTCCTATTCTGTTACTTGCACTTTCTTGCTCCTTTCTTATTCTGTTACTTAACCTTCCTCTTGTCTTGTTTGTACTTTTTCTATTTGGGATTGTTGTAATCTTATTAAACTTTAACCGGTATGGAATTGGACTATCAGTGAAAACATTTATACTATACGACCTAATATAGAATGTCTTTTTTTATGTAGGTTTTTATCTGATAGAGCCTTAGAGGAAGCGATTTCTATTGAACGTTCCACATCTTTGCCTCTCGAAGCTCCTGATTGTTTTAAAGTTAGAGGGCTAGAGAAAAATTGGGCCGAACTTACAAAAGACGGGAGAGGTTAGATTTACTATTACCGTTTTTAAATGTTATTAATATATTAAAGCTTATTTATATTATAGATTTTCGTCAGGAGATTTGGTATAGAACCCACATCATTATATCGAGAAGTAAGTTTTATTTTTTCTTATTGAAAGATATAATTAACGTTAATTAAACTAATTGTGTCGTAATTTTTTTTTTTTTAGGTGAAGGGATTACTCCCTTAGAACACCTTGCCGAACATTTGAAACAAATAGAAAAAGAGTTTGAGATAGAAACAGACACAGAAGACGAGGACATTGACCAAGAAGAACAATAATGCCCCCTCGTCGACAGGTCACACTGAATCAGTTGCTCTCTCTAATATGGAAGGATTAAGTGCCACAAAGAAAGGAATTATGGTTCAAGCAATATTGGACGTTGCTAATGCGACATCAGATCAAATATTATCACGTAACTTTCCCCAAGCCCAATTCCCCATAAGGTCAAGAGTAATATATATGAATGCAAACCGATCTCAATTTGTAGATGTAAGATTTACTTATAGGCATAATAAAATCATAATTGTAGGCGTCTTTACTTCCCCTTAATTATATTAATATAATTAAAACTCGCTTGGTTAAAATTAATGGTATAATAAATAAATTAGTACTATGTTTCTAATTGTCTGTTGCCTGTTATATTTGACTATATTATTGTGTATCATTTTTTTTCTTTGATTCGTCTTAGATAAACTTTTACTTGGGCGCGAGCAAATTGATTTCGCTCATGTTTAAAGACATGTTATATCAAAAAGTATATTGACTTACCTTGTCCCTAGTTAGCCTTAGCTCGACCCTAGTTGGAATTTTACTGGGACACTACTAGGGCCAGCCATTTGACTTTCCGGAGCAGTTTGATTTCTTTCTTTTATCCTTGTCCCTAGTAACCAACATGATAGAGGTTTGTTGTTGATCCAGTTCATCAGATTAAATTTGATTGGCTGGTAGATCTAGAGGTTGGAACCGGTTTTAATAATTCGGGTTTATCACGTAAATTTTGTGATATTTTAGAATTTATTAAAATTTA